GTGGCCCCACGGAGCCTCTGGACCCTGCTCCCGATGGCTGTTTCCAGACGTTGCGTTTCCCTTCCAGACATGGCCTGGACTGCTTTGCACATATCCTGACACACTTCCGCCCAAGAACTTGTGCTGGTTTTGGTTTTTTTCTCTTTAATCACAGGTAGAATGAAAGAGCCATCAGCCCTCAAGTGCCTGATGATGTGGAGTTTCTTGAATTGGAGAGAATGGTGGAGAAGTAACTGGCTTGGTCAGTTTTTATTACATGTGCTAAGAAAGGAGAGAGGGCTCCCACTGCTCCTAAGACCTGGCCCTCGGGGGGCCGGAAAATGGCAACAATAATCACCCGCAGACCTCCGGCAGTGCGGTGCGGCCCGCGTGGGGACGTGGTGACTTCCTGCAGCACAACACAATGTATTTGTCCAGTGTCAGTATTCTTCCTGTTAAGATTGCCAGCTAAAGCCACGTCCATTCCTGCTTTTCCCCTTTTTTTCTTCTATCCTTAGATCTTGTAAAACCACCGACTGTGTGCGGACGCTGGTAAGAAGGTGAGGCCTGGCCCTTGCACAGACACAGCCCGTCAGACAGACAGAGAGATAGATGGCAGAGGAGGCGGAGGGGCGCGTGATGGGCTTTGGGTTTTGGAGGTGGGAAGGAGTCGTGGGAGAGAGTGGATCACTCCCCTGCCGGTCTTGTCTGGGTGGGTGAAGCCATGATCTCTGCCTCCAGGGCAGGGAGGGGCAGCGAGTACTGGGCTCCACACTCCGGGCTCCGCTCTCGGGGCGCAGCCAGCCACAGGGCCCAGAGGCTTTGCCCTCTGCTCCTCCCGGGTGGGCCTAGCATCTCCTGGGGGCTCGGCTTCCTTCCTCCAAGCCCTGATCCAACTGTGTGCAGAGATGGCCGTACTCCCAGGACCCACCAGCCCCGGCCCCTCTGCCCTGGCAGCAAACTCAGTAATGCTGGCACTGGACTCCCGCGCCCCAAACCTCCTGCCCCCCCACCTCGGGCTATTTACTTCCGGTCTGTGTCCAGGGGCCCCTGCAGGCCTGCTGGCCACCCAAATCCTGCCGGTCACCCCAGCCCCGCCAGCCACAAAGGGTGAAGCCACTACCAGGCTCTTGACAAATTGAGCCCCGAGCTGCTAAGATCTCTTCTGTTAGAACTTTCTAACAGTGTCATAAATCTTTTATTAACATTTGGTATTATACTAATTAAAACTGTTCTCTGTATGTATTATTAATTTCCCTAGCACTTCTTGCTGGGGTGACGTTTTTAGCCAGCTAAGCAGAAAGTAGCACAGTAAATAAGAAGAAACTCATTTCCAGACAATTAGCCTTGCAGAAAAATAAGTTGGTTAATGGAAGGCATGATGATTACAAATTTTACCTAAATAAACAGGGTATCTTAATGGTAACTCTTCAAGCTAAGTAAACAGATTGGAGTGGTAATGTCCTAAGCAATACTTAAATGTAACTGTTTAATAAATTGGTGAATTACTCATTTCATCTTAGAACAGAATGGTAATACTGTAGTAATAACCTAGTATATATTCCGTAAATATGAAGCATTATCACTTTTGCTCTGTAGAAATCACCACAGTGATATGTCAGCATTGATCTAAAACTGCAGCATTTTATCTCAAGTTTATTACCCATTTTTGAGAATCGCTGAGATTTTCAGAGCATAATGGCAATAAAAGAAGAATTTAAAAAGCGCTTTAATGTGCATAAGTTAATCAGAGGTATCCTCGGGGGGGAAGGAAATTTGGTAAAACATGAATTATAAGCATCATTTAAACTTACTTTGGACACAAGAGATAATAAATGGCACCATAATTTAGAAATAGCTTTTAACATCAATGACGGTAAGTACCACTTTACTGTTCATAAGAATTGCAGAGCACTGGTGCTGAGGCCAATTTTATTAGCCATTTTTTTCTTTATAAAAGCAATCCCGCAGTTCCACCACTGAGGAGACAGGAACAAGAGTTACGCGCTAATATGCAAAATGCATTTAAGATTTTTGAAATAGAGAATAATAAATTGTGCCAAAAGACAGAGTCTGGAGACAAATGAATGATCGTTTAAAAAGAATAAGGTGCTTTCAGAGTTTACATATTTGGAGAAACTTGATGAAAAAAAAAAATCCCGCAACCGCTCATACATTTCGCCGTGCGCCGCCTGCGCGGCACGCTTTCAAAGCCCGGAGACGAAGCCATAAATCCCGGCGGTTGGGAGAGGCTGCAACAGAAATATATTTCTGTAAATTGTTGCCAGTGACAAATCGCTTTTAAACGATTACAGTGCAGGTTCAACTTCCTCTTCGGGGGAGGAGAGCAGCGTTCGCAGGAAAGCCTCGGACCGGGCGCCCTCTGCCCTGCCCTCCAGTCCTGGCCTGCAGGAGCACCATGGCCGCGGCACGCTGCCGGGCCTGGGGAGCGGCTTGTCTGCAACTGGACCTGGCCAGGTGGCCGGCTCCCCCCCCCCCCCCCCCCGCCCTCGGGGACTCAATGGCTCCAGGTTCAAGGTCTTCAGCTGCCCTGGCACTGGAGACACTCGCAGAACACATCGATTCCAATTCCTCTCCAAGTCTTGGGTGCCGCTGAGTCTCTCCGCGAGCCTCTCTGCTTTTGCACACAGCCTGTTTGTGCAGAAAGCCGGGGACATCAGCGGAGGCAGCGCCTGCTAGAGGCGAGCAGAGAGCAAAGGCAGGAAGGGACGGGGTGGGTGTGCAGGGTGGGGGCGGGGAAGGGACCAGGCCGGGAGGCTGCAGCCAGGAGGCAGCCTGCGGGTCTCCTGCCCGGTCTCCGCACAGTCTTCTCCCCGAACTCCAGAGGCACCCCTCCCTCAGAGCCCAAAGGGTGGAGGCGGCCTGGGAAACACGGGGTTTTGTGTGAGGGCTGGCTGGGCGGAGGGCCCTGGACTCTGACCCGGGGCTCACTTGGGCAGAGACGCTGTGTGTCGCTCGGGCTTGGTGTTCACGTCTGAGAAGCGGGGGCTCCAAAGCTGTTTCATGAGAGAATCGTGAGGGGGCGGGGGCTGTGTGTGCATGTGTGTGCGCGCGCACACATGCGTGTACACCAGTCTTGAGGCCTGGACGCTGTCCCTTGGCTTCTGTGCTCAAGGCTGGCGTTGGACCAATTGAGCCACAGCTCCACTTCTGGCTTTTTGGTGACTAATTGGGGGTAAGAGTCTTATGGACTTTCCTGGCTGGGCTGCATTCCAACTATGATCCTCAGATCTCAGCCTAGGGGTTAGAGACGAGACACCTCCCGGCTACCTCATAACGCTTAGAATAACCTGGCTTCCGCTGCTCCTTCCCGGCTGGCTCCACCCGAGTGCCAGACGTGGTTACTCCCGACCATCACAAGTTTAAAACTGGCCCACGCTCACGCTTAGGATGCCCCACTGGGGGTCAGAGAGAGGCTGGGGCCTGGGTAGCAGGAGGTCTGAAGAGTCGTTCAGCTCCCTCCCAGTCGGGCCCCAGACGCCTCCTCCCACAGCCTCTGTCCCCCCGGGACCCCCCCAGGAGGTGGGGGCATCCCTCCGTCACACACTCGGGGTACAGGTGGCCGCTCTGAGGGGGGCCTCGGGATGGATAGAGGAGCTGCAGCCAGCCTGCGGGCTCAGCAGGCCGGCCGCCCCCACAAAGGAACTGGAAACTCGGGCCTTTGTGCTCTGCCCCGGCGCTCCAGGGTCCCTGTCTGCCCCTCCATCCTGTCAGCCTGCCGTGCCTCCCTGCGTGCCACTAACAAAAGTGCCCCAGCGGAGCCCAGCCTCTGCGTTGCGTGTGTGTGTGTGTGTGTGAGTGTGTGTGTGTGTGTGTGTGAGAGAGAGAGAGAGAGAGAGAGAGAGAGAGAGAGAGAGAGAGAGAGAGAGAGCTGCTCAGCATGCTGGGGGCTCAGAACCAGCTTCTCTGGCCACAGGAAGCCCTGTGCGGGCTCAGTCTGGGCTGGAGTCCCTCCGGCTTCCTGCTGGCCGGGTGGGGGTGGGGAGGGGAAAGGAGTGTCTTTCTGGGGCCTGGGGAGTGAAGAGGGCAAGAGGCACACTGCCCCCAGGGCCCCGACCTCAGGGGGTCACCAAGTTCCAAAGCACCTGCTGGTCCACGGAGCCCCAGCGCAAACAGCGCTCTGCAGGTGGCGGCCAACGCCCGGCCAGACCTGGGCTTTCAGAGCTCACCCGCCGGGCGCCGGAGGTGTCGGCTTCTTCCACTCAGGGAGCCGGGTCAGCATGAATCCCCACGGAACCCGCCTCACGTTTCTAGCGGGCAAGCTGCTGCAGTCCGGGTGGGGCCTGGCCACGGGGCGGTGGGCGTGGGCTGAGGACGCCGGGTGCGACCCCTCGGCCGCCGGCTCAACCTCTGCTTGTAAGCTCGGAACCTGAGGCTGCGCAGTGGTGGAAAGAGAGAACGAAAGGAGAGGAAAGAGCCGAGCTGCGTCGTGTTGTTCCTCATGCTGGGCTCCGGAGCACAGCTAAGGCTCTGGTGAGGCCCGGGAGGCTGGGGCTGGTAGGGCAGAACATTTGTTTCCACCTCAGGAAGGGACGACGGCAGAGCCGACGGGAGCCCAGGGTCCCTCCACCGGCCGGCGCCAGGCCGGTCCCTCGGTGGACGGTGCCAGGCCTGGTGGACACGGCCTGTCCTTCTGATTACGCCTGGCCCCTCCGAGGCTTTCCATTCAATTCTTCTCTGAAATTACTTTAAAATGCGTTTATTTTAAGAGAAATCAGTTATACCCTGACCTGTAGTTTAAAAACCCAACTTTCTCTGGAAGAATCAACGACTATATTTAATGTGGGAAAGCAGGGCGCAGAGGAGCAGCCCCTGGGGCCCCTGGAGAGGCTGGAGCCTGAGGGACTCGGCCACCCCGCCGGCCCAGGAGCAAGGGCACCGCGGCCACCCTGCCAGGCCAGGGCCGAGTTGTGAGTGTGCCCAGGGTGGGCGGAGATGGGGGACGGTGGTCTGGGCCTGAAGACGTGGGCGCACATTTCTCTCGGGTACCCTCTGTCCAGAAGCAGATGCCCACCCTGCCCTGGCTGCGGGGTGCACTGGGCTGCCAGACGCTCCCAGGCCGAGGTACCGATTCAGCCGTTTGCACCTGCCCCGCGGGGTGGTCTGCGGGTCACCCCGGCTGCAGACCGACTATGAACGCCAGGCCCGGCCCCTGGGAGCAGGGTGCACCTGCCTGGCCTTGCTGGCCTCCACCGCCATCCTCCGGGGCATCTCTGAGAAACACGGGGCGGAGGAGGCTGCCGGCCCCGGTGCAGGGGGATGCTGCTGGGCCTCGGGGGCAGAGGTCAGGTGGCAGCTACCCTCCTCCCAGGGTGGCGAGGCACTGGATGCCCTTGGAATGCGCCAGGGCCCGGAGGCTGCCGGCCCTTCCCCCGCCAGGCCAGCTCCATCTGCCCTCCCTGGTCCAGCCCTGGGAGGGAAGGAGAGGGGGAGGGAGGGGAGAGAGAGACAGAGGGAAAGAGGGAGACAGAGGAAGAGAGGGCAGGAGGGAGAGAGGGTGCTGGGAAGGTGGCTCGGTGGTAGAGCGCTTGTCTAGCATGCATGAAGCCCTGGGTTCGATTCCTCAGCACCACAGACACAGAAAAAGCTGGAAGTGGTGCCGGCTCAGGGACAGCGCCCAGGCCCTGAATTCAAGGCCCAGGACTGGCAAAAAAAGAAAAAAGAAAAAAGAAAAGGAAAGAAAGGAAGAGAGAGGGGGAGGGAGAAAGCGAAAGAGAAAGGAGAGAGGGAGGGAAACAGAGAGACGGAGGGAGACAGACAGACACAGGGACGACGGGGCAGCGCACCTGCGAGGTCTAGTCTGACCCCCGGACGTTTGCGGGCGTCGGGCGCCCGCAGGCCAGGCGCGGCTCGGAGCCCGCAGCTCCGCGGCTCCCGCGTCAGGAGGCCGAGGCGGAGACCCCGGGCCCCGGCCCGGAGCGCGCGGCCGCCCCGCTCCCTCCCGAGGGCCGGGCCCGGGTCCCCGCGCCCCGCAGGCCTGGGCGCCGGCGGGTGAACGCAGTACCGGGCTCCAGGTCACCGCGTCCAAGTCACGGTGCGCGCAGCACCCGCTCCAGGTCACCGCGTCCAAGTCACGGTGCGCGCGGCGCCCGGCTCCAATCCACCGTGCGCGCGGCGCCCGGCTCCAACTCACGGTGCGCGCAGCGCCCGGCCCGGCGCACCCCTCGCCCTCCTCGGCTCTCCGGGCCCCGTCCCCGTCCCCGGGCCGCGTGCCCCGGAGCCCGGCTGCGCGGGGAGGACGGGAACCGGGGCCGCGCCGGCAGAAGCACGCCGGGCCTCGGCCGCGCCGCGCGGGAGCTCGGCGCGGTTCCCGGCGGCCTCGCGGCCTCCAGCCCCGCGTGCAGCGAAGGCGGCCGGGCCGGGCCGGGCGGGGATCCTGCGCGGAGACGAGGCGGGCGGAGCGGGGCCGGGGCCGGGCGCGGGGCCGGGCAGAGCCCCGAGAACGAGGCAGCAGCCGCGCGGGGCCGAGCGGCGCGCGGGCCGGAGGCCGGGACGCCCGCACCTCCCCGAGGCCCGCGGGCGGTGCGGGGCGCGGGCGCCGGCGCCATCGGGGCCCGGCGGGGGCGGCGACCCCCGCTCCTTCCGGACCCGGCCGCCCCCGACCGGCGGTGACGTCCCGTGACGTCACGCCCCGCGCGGGCCCCGCACCCCCGGCGCGGGCTGACTGACCTGCACCGCGCGCCGCGCGGACGGACGGACGGACGGACGGACGGAGGTGCCGCCGCCCGCGGAGGGCGCGCGTGGAGGAAACGAAATAAAAGCAGCGTTAGGTGAAATAGCTCGCGTCTCTTTTTTATTAAATAAAACGACTTAAATAAAAGGAGCGGGGGGGGGGGGGCGAACCCCGCCCGGCCCCGCGCCCGGCCCCGCGCCCGGCCCCGCGGGAGGCCGGCGGCCGCCGCCAACCGAGGAGAAAAGGGCAAAACTTTGATTATTTACAGGTTCGGGCAAAAGTACAAAGTATGATACAGGCGCCCGCGGCGGCGCGGGGCCGGGGCGCGCGGGGCCGGGGCCGGGGCGCGCGGGGCCGGGGCCGGGGCGCGCGGGGCCGGGGCCGGGACGCGCGGGGCCGGGGCCGGGACGCGCGGGGCCGGGGCCGGGGCCGGGCGCGGGGACCTAAGGCGCTTTCTGGGCGGCCGGGCCGGGCCGCGCGGCGCGGCTCACACCAGCGAGGGCACCGCGGGGACCTTGGCGCCGTCCTCCTCCCACGGCTGCAGGTTCTGCAGCGCGAAGAGCGAGGAGTTGTGCAGGCAGAGCGGGTCGGGCTGCATGGCGTCGCCCAGGCTCTTCTGGAAGGCGTCGTGCTGCAGCTGCAGCATGAGCCGGCTGGCCTGCTGCCGCTCGGCCTCGCGCTCCTCCGCCGTCTGCCGCCTGCGGGGGGGGGGGGGGACCCCGGTCACGGCCGCGCCCGGCCTCCGCGGCCCCCGCCCCGCCGCCGCCGGACCTCCGGGGCCCCGCGAGCGCGCCCCTCCCCGCCCCGTCCAGGCCGCGGTCGCTTCGCCCGTCCCGGGTTGGAAGGAGTCGGGGATCGATGCCAGCGGGGTGGGAGCCGCGGCGGGGCCGGGGCGGGGGCCGAGGCGCGGGCGCGGGGCAGAGCCGGCGGGGCCGGCCTCGCTCACCGCCACTTGGTCCTCCGGTTTTGGAACCAGGTCTTGACCTGCGCGTCCGTCATCTTGAGCGACTTGGCGAGCGCCGCCCTCTCGGCCGAGGCCAGGTACTTCTGGCGGTGGAAGCGCTTCTCCAGCTCGCAGATCTGCACGCGGGAGAAGGACGTGCGCGGCTTCTTGCGCTTGGGCGGCGTCCGGTTCTGGTAGGGGTGGCCGATGCGCCGGGTCACCGTGAAGGGCGTGAGCGCGGCGGCCGCTGCGGGGACACGCGAGGCCCCTGGGTGCGCGGCCCGGCCGGGCGCCGCGCGGGGCCCCGCGGAGCGCGCGCGGGAGCCGGGCGGGGCGGCCTCCCTCCCGCCCTCCCCCGCGCCCGCCGCCCGCGCCACCCCCCCCCCCCCGCGCGGCGCCGAGGCCTGGGCCGCGCCCGGGCCCGGGAAGCGGGGGTCCCGGAGCGGGGCGCACGCGGGGCGCGCGCGGGGCGCGCGGCTCACCTGTGAAGCGGTCCTTGACGAAGCGGCGGCTGCTCTCCATCCAGGGGAAGTTGAGGCCGCCCAGGCTGGAGACGGCGGGCACGGCGGGCAGGGCGGGCAGCGCGCTGGGCAGCGGCGGCGGCACGGCCCCCGGCAGCGGCCTGTGCGCCGGCACCCGGATGACCCCGGCGGGCGCCAGGCTCAGGTTGACGCCGTAGGAGCCCGCGTCCTCGAAGGGCGCGGCGAGGCCGGCGAAGGAGGCGGGCAGGGCCGGGTACGCGGCGCCCGCGCGGCCCCCGGGGGGCGGCCCCAGGTAGCCGGCGCCGTCGGGGCCCCGCGGGGCGGGCGCGCCGTCCTGGTCCGGGCCGTTGAGGATCTGGTCGATGCCGAAGCGGATGGGCTCGTGCGGGTGCGGGGTCCGCGCGCCGGCGGGCGCCTCCATGCTGGGCGGGCGGCAGGGCCGGGCCGGGCCGGGCGCGCAGGCGGCTGGGGCCCCGTCTCGGCGCGGCCGCGCAGCGCCCCGCGCCTCCGGTCGCACTGAAACTTTGCCAAGAGTGCGCGGGCCCGGCGGGCTCTGTGTCATCTTCTCGAGCCGGGCCCCGAGTCTCCGCCGCGCCCGCGCCCGCGCCGCTGCCATTGGCTGCGCCCGCCCAGCCTCTCGCCTCCCATTGGCTCGCGGCTCGCGGCCGCGGCCTGACTCACGCGGACGGGAGCCCAGGGACTGTTCCAAGGTGACATCACTTTCGCTCGCGAACAATAGGTCAAATGGATCGGCCGGGGGCGCGGGCGGCCGAGGTCGGCGGCGCCCCGAGCCCAACGGGCCGCGTGAGCCGACGCCCCCCGCGCGCGGCCCCGGGCGGGCGCCTCCCCGCCTCTCGCCTCCCCGCCGGCCCGGGGGCCCGGGGCCCGGGCGCCGCTCGCGGGGCCGCGCGTCGTCTCCCAACGTTTCTCTCCAGCGCAGACACGTAAAAACCAAACCAAACGAAGGGGAGCCTCGCCGCGAGCGCGGAGCGCGGCCCCGGGGCCCCCGTGCGTCCGGACCCGCAGGCGCGTCGGGAGAGGTGCGGAGGGGCGCGGGGCCAGGGTGCGGGACCGGGATGCGGGGCGCGGGGCTGGGGCGCGGGGCCGGGGCGCCGACCCGCCTGGGGAGAAGCCGCTCGCGGGGCCCGGCGCCCGGTGGGGTCGCGCGCGTCCGCGGCGGCCCCCGTTCGTTTTATTCGTTCGCCTAGAGCCAAAGCCGGTTTCGTTCGCAGAGGCGAGCGGCCGGCCTGCGGGGCCTGCGGGGCCTGCGGGGCCTGCGGGGCCTGCGGGGCCGGCGCCGTCCACGCGGTCCGAGGGCCGCTGTCCCCCGCCCCGGGCACTGCCGAGCCCCGACGTGCGGGTGCGCAGAGCGGGTTCGGATCCCGGGCTTCCCCGCGGAGGGGCCGTGCCCGGCTTCCCGTGCGCCCCGGGCTTCCCGTGCGCCCCGGGCTTCCCGTGCGCCCCGGCCCGGGCTTCCCGTGCGCCCCGGGCTTCCCGTGCGCCCCAGCCCGGGCTTCCTGTGCGCCCCGGCCCGGGCTTCCCGTGCGCCCCGGGCTTCCCGTGCGCCCCGGCCCGGGCTTCCCGTGCGCCCCGGCCCGGGCTTCCCGTGCGCCCCGGGCTTCCCGTGCGCCCCGGCCCGGGCTTCCCGTGCGCCCCGGGCTTCCCGTGCGCCCCAGCCCGGGCTTCCTGTGCGCCCCGGCCCGGGCTTCCCGTGCGCCCCGGGCTTCCCGTGCGCCCCGGCCCGGGCTTCCCGTGCGCCCCGGCCCGGGCTTCCCGTGCGCCCCGGCCCGGGCTTCCCGTGCGCCCCGGGCTTCCCGTGCGCCCCGGGGCGGCAGGGCCGGGCTGGGCCTGGGCGGCGCGTGGTTCCCGCCTCACGGTCCTCCGTCGTTCGTTCTGCCTGTCGTTCTGTCTTTTGGCCTGTGGTTCTGTGGGTCATTCTGTGTCGGTTGGCCTGTCGTTCGTTCTGTCTGTCGTTCTGTAGGTTGGTCTGTCTGTCGGTCTGTCTGTGTCGTTGTCTGTCGTTCTGTCTGTCGGTCTGTCGGGTCTTTCGGTCGGTCTGTCTGTCGGTCTGCCGTTCTGTCTGTCGGTCTGTCGGGTCTTTCGGTCGGTCTGTCTGTCGGTCGGTATGTCGGTCTGTCTGTCTGTCGCTGTCTGTCGGTCTGTCAGTCTATCTGTCGGTCTGTCTGTCGGTGGGTATGTCGGTCGGTCTGTTGGTCGGTCTGTCGGTCAGTCTGTCGGTCGGTCGGTCTGTCTGTCGGTCTGTCTGGTTGGTCGGTATGTCGGTCTGTCTGTTGGTCTGTCGATCGGTCTGTCGGTCTGTCTGTCGGTCGGTCTCTGTCGGTCGGTCTGTCTGTCGGTCTGTCGGTCTGTCTGTCTGTCGGTCTGTCGGTCTGTCTGTCGGTCTGTCTGTCTGTCGGTCTGTCTGTCGGTCTGTCCGCAGAGGCGGTGGGTTGAACACGAAGGCCGCGCGGGGCGCGCCGTGCGCGGCTCTTTGTCTGCGGTCCCCGCGTCCCGCAGAGCCTGGGCCGGGCCGGGGCCCCGCGGCCGTGCGCCTGGCTGTGGGAGCTGCGCGCGGCGGGGCCGGCCGGGCCGCCTCCCTCCTCCCGGCCGGAGCTCGGGCGCGGGCGCCAAGGGCCCCCGCTCGGGCCTCCGTTTCCTCGAGTTCGGCGCAGCGGCCCCAGGGCGGCAGGACGCGGTGGAGAAGCCGAGGAGGAGCCGGCCGGGAGACGCCCGCCCGCCCCGCGGCCCAGGCGCCTCCCGACCCCAGCTCGGTCCAAGGGCCCAGCTCCCCGCCCGCGGCCTTCGCGCTCTGGGCTCCTCATTGCCGGACCACTCCCCGAGCGGAAAAAGGGGCTGAAGCAGGGCAGGGTGTGGAGGGCAGGGGTGTGGAGGGCAGGTGGGGTGTGGAGGGCAGGTGGGGTGTGGAGGGCAGGGCTGGGGTGTGGAGGGCAGGGGTGGGGTGTGGAGGGCAGGGGTGGGGTGTGGAGGGCAGGGGTGTGGAGGGTAGGGGTGGGGTGTGGAGGGCAGGGCTGGGGTGTGGAGGGCAGGGCTGGGGTGTGGAGGGCAGGTGGGGTGTGGAGGGCAGGGGTGGGGTGTGGAGGGCAGGTGGGGTGTGGAGGGCAGGGCTGGGGTGTGGAGGGCAGGGGTGGGGTGTGGAGGGCAGGGGTGGGGTGTGGAGGGCAGGGGTGTGGAGGGTAGGGCTGGGGTGTGGAGGGCAGGGCTGGGGTGTGGAGGGCAGGGCAGGGATGTGGAGGGCAGGGGTGTGGAGGGCAGGGGTGTGGAGGGCAGGGGTGTGGAGGGCAGGGGTGTGGAGGGCAGGGCTGGGGTGTGGAGGGCAGGGCAGGGATGTGGAGGGCAGGGGTGTGGAGGGCAGGGGTGGGGTGTGGAGGGCAGGGATGTGGAGGGTAGGGCTGGGGTGTGGAGGGCAGGGCAGGGGTGTGGAGGGCTGGGGTGTGGAGGGCAGGGCTGGGGTGTGGAGGGCAGGGCTGGGGTGTGGAGGGCAGGTGGGGTGTGGAGGGCAGGGCTGGGGTGTGGAGGGCAGGTGGGGTGTGGAGGGCAGGGCTGGGGTGTAGAGGGCAGGGATGTGGAGGGCAGGGGTGTGGAGGGCAGGTGGGGTGTGGAGGGCAGGGCTGGGGTGTAGAGGGCAGGGGTGTGGAGGGCAGGGGTGTGGAGGGCAGGGCTGGGGTGTGGAGGGCAGGTGGGGTGTGGAGGGCAGGTAGGGTGTGGAGGGCAGGGGTGGGTGTGGAGGGTAGGGGTGGGATGTGGAGGGCGGGTGGGGTGTGGAGGGCAAGGCTGGGGTGTAGAGGGCAGGGGTGTGGAGGGCAGGGGTGTGGAGGGCAGGGCTGGGGTGTGGAGGGCAGGTGGGGTGTGGAGGGCAGGGGTGGGTGTGGAGGGTAGGGGTGGGATGTGGAGGGTAGGGGTGGGGTGTGGAGGGCAGGTGGGGTGTAGAGGGCAGGTGGGATGTGGAGGGCAGGGCTGGGGTGTGGAGGGCAGGTGGGGTGTGGAGGGCAGGGGTGGGGTGTGGAGGGCAGGGCTGGGGTGTGGAGGGCAGGTGGGATGTGGAGGGCAGGGCTGGGGTGTGGAGGGCAGGTGGGGTGTGGAGGGCAGGGGTGGGTGTGGAGGGCAGGGCAGGGTGTAGAGGGCAGGTGGGATGTGGAGGGCAGGGGTGTGGAGGGCAGGGCTGGGGTGTGGAGGGCAGGGGTGGGTGTGGAGGGCAGGGCAGGGTGTGGAGAGCCCTGTGGAGTGAGCAGGCAGACTCTAAGCACTTTCTCACCCCGGCACTCCTGTTGCCCTCTGTAGACGCAGGTCTCTCCCCCTTCCCCCTCTTTGTGCCTCAGTTTCTTGGTCTGGTTGAGACACTGGACCAAACTCACCAGCTTGAGTTCATCAGGGTTGGTGTCCCGCCCCGTGGCGTCCAGCCCTGGGGGTGCGCCACCCAGGGGTGCCCTGCTCTGCCCCAAGGTGCCACAACTCCCTTTTCTCTCCCTCTAAACAGAAGAGGGCGGCCGTGCTCTGAGCCGCTGGTTCCAGGCCCACAGCACCCCGCGAAGCGCCAGGGTCTCCTAGAAATGCACAACCCCGAATGCTAGCCTGAGCCTGGAAGGGGAAACCGAGGCAGGGCCACTCGGGCTCTGTGACCTGCTCAAATTTGCCTGCCGCACCGTGTTCATGTGTGCGTTGGAACCCCGGGAAGCCCCCTGGGAAGCACGCGGAACCTGAAACACTCTGAAGCCCTGGTGCTGACCCCCTGCTTCGGCCCCATTGCCCCTTTGTGCCCGAGGCTCTGCATCACGCTTGCCAAAGGTTTGTCTATTTTATTGGTCTTCAAATGTCCTTGATTTCATTATCTTCTGCTTTGTGTCATCTCTTCCATGAATGCTTTGTTTTGACGAATTAATTCCTTCTCTCTTAGGGTGAAAATTTAATTCATTTGGTCCATTTTTCTTTTTCTTTTCCTCTTTTTAAATAACTGCATTTAAGGCCAGCGCTGGTGGGTTACAGACGTCCCAAGGTGGGCTTGGGGCTTCTGAGATGGTAAACATTTGCTGCCCCTTTGTATCTCCTTTAAACTGAACCTGAGCAAGGCTCGGAGACGCACGTTCCAAGAACTGTGGGGGCTTCCTCTCTTGAGGCAGAGAGGCTGGGCGGGGGAGGGGGGGGAGAGGCGGGGCTGAACTTCTAATTGGCCCATGAACCCAGATGCTAGAGCCCATGTCCTTCGGGTCTCCTGTCATTGACCTCCTGTGCGACTTAGGATTCAATCTCCTGGTCTGTAAAACGGGGGGTAGAGATTGAATCAGGGCTCTGAAGTGTATTCGGGTCAGCCAGCTATTCTTTTTTTTTTTTTTTTGTCGGTCGTGGGGTTTGAACTCTGGGCCTGGGCGCTGTCCCTCAGCTCTTCAGCTCAAGGCGAGCGCTCTACCACTTGAGCTACAGCGCCACTTCCGGTTTTCTGGTGGTTTATTGGAGATAGGAGTCTCACGGTCTCTTCTGCGCGGGCTGGCTTTGAACTGCGATCCTCAGATCTCAGCCTCCTGAGT